ACCCTGGCCTGAAACCCTGCCGGGGGGGGGGCAGCCACAGCTTCTCTGGGCAGCCTGTGCCAGTGTCTCACCACCCTCACAGTAAAGAACTTCTTCCTTACGTCTAATCTGAATCTCCCCTCTCTCAGTTTGAAGCTGTTACCCCTTGTCCCGTAACTGCACTCCCTGATAAAAAGTCCCTCTCCATCTTTCTTATAGGCCCCCTTTAAGTACTGAAAGGCCGCTATAAGGTCTCCCTAGAGCCTTCCCTTCTCCAGGCTGAACAACCCCAACTCTCTCAGCCTGTCCTCACAGGGGAGGTGCTCCAATGCCCTGATCATCTTTGTGGCCCTCCTCTGGACCTGCTCCAATGGGTTCACATCCTTCTTGTGCTGTGGGCCCCAGAGCTGGACACAGCACAGCCAGTGGGGTCTCACCAGAGCAGAGTAGACGGACAGAATCACCTCCCTCGACCTGCTGGCCACGCTTCTTTTCATGCAGCCCAGGATACAGTTGGCTTTCTGGACTGCAAGCACATGTTGCTGGCTCATGTCCAACTTTTCATGCTCCAGTACCCCCAAGTCCTTTTTCACAGGGCTGCTCTCAGTCCCTTCATCCCCCAGACTGTATTGATACCAGGGGTTGCCCTGACCCAGGGACAGGACCTTGCACTTGGCCTTGTTGAACCTCATGAGGTTTGCATGGGCCCACCTCTCCAGCCTGTCAAGGTCCCTCTGGATGGCCTCCCTTCCCTCCAGTGTGTTGACCTCACCACACAGCTTGGTGTCATCAGCAAATTTGCTGACGGTGCACTCAATCACACTGTCCAGGTTGCTGACAAATGACCCCTGAGGAATGCCACTCATCATTGGTTTCCACTTGGACAATGGAACAGCTCTCCTTGTAGGGCAACACAGCACTGATAGACGCAGGAATCCATCTGTTTTTCTAGATGAGGCATGGAAAAGTCTCCCTCCCAGAAACCCATCCATCCCGTTATGCATTGGACTGGGATTGTGCTACACCCACCCGTCAGCTATTAAAAAGAAAAATAATATGTTTGAGTTACGTTTGCAAGCATTATCTTGTGTCCCTTCAGCTGGCCTCCAGGGAGCATCATTGTAGAAATCTTTACATCTTTCACAAGACAAACCTTCAGTATTATGGTGGCAGATACATCTCCCATGGACCTGCAATGCAGTGAGAACAGAGAGGATGTAAGAGGAGAGGATGGGAGAGGAGAGGAGAGGAGAGGAGAGGAGAGGAGAGGAGAGGAGAGGAATCTGTGAGAGGTAAGCAAGCAAGTTCAGAAAAATTCAAAGCTCTTTGGCTCCCTCAGCTGACCTAATTCTCAGTTATTTCAGTAAAAGGTCTAGAGAATACCTGCAAACTTTAATCAAATAGTTTTATTAAGCCACTGAGTGACATTTAGAAAAAAATACTTCTGGAGACATCAAAGGAGGCTTCAACCTTTTAAATTCTATCTCTTTCTCCCTACACATCTCTATATGGAGAAACATATTTTCCAGGGGAAACAACCTGTTGTTTCCAGAGGGAAAGAATTTGCAGTTATGTTCCTAAATTTGTTAATAATCCATTTCTCATGGGTTAGCTTTGCATTATCAGCTATTCTTTGTGCCAATGCCTCCTCTCCCATTGCAGAGCCCCCGAGCCCAGCTGGAGTGTGGAATGCACCCAACAAGTGGCCATTCAAGTCTGCACACACCACATGCTACTTACTGCATTAACATTTGCACCATTACAGCTCTGGTATTTTGCTGCTATTATCAACATGTCTTGTCCCAGTTGCTTTTGAAACACTACACTATTGCCGACAAAGAGCTTCTGAGCAATCCATCCCAGGGATTTAAAAGAAGAAGCTGCACTGAAACATTTAACAACTTGGGGTTGCAAATGGTCAACACAAAGAACATCAGAGATCTTCCTTCTTCTCCCTCCCTCCATCTTCCTTCCCCCAAAATACCAGGTAGGGACTGCCCTTGTTGGAGACAGTGTTAATGACGCACCATCCCAGACTGATGGAAAATATCTCCCCGCAGATTCTGCACAGGATCACACTGGCTGGCATGGCCATTGCAAAAGCAGCTGCCCCGCACAACCATCTCATAGATAGCATAGTAGTACTTCTCAAGGGGATCCCTGTGCCTTCTTCCAAGCAGAGCATCCCCAAGGGTGTGGAGTTTAGTAAAATTGATCCTTAGGTTTGTCAACGTAATGAGCTCTGGAAGGAAAGAAGATAAATCAAGAGCCCAAGTTCACTCAAAAATTAACAGTTTGAAATCTTCAGCTGCGATCAGTCATCCAAGAACTCCCCCATACTGAAGAAATAGCGGGAATGATCTGATATTGGCCAAGATCAGCAACCCATACAGTGCCAGGGCATGGACCGACTCCCGGCAAACAGCTGCATAAGTGTTAGCTCCTTCCTTGGTATGGCTCTGGCCGGGGCCAATGTGTATTTGCTCAGCCCCTGCCTTCATGGGTTCATGTACACCTCTGTGACTATTCCCAAAAGGCAGTGTGGACTGGGCCACCTGATCCCAGAAGGAAAGACAGTTTAGCTGCATGGATGAGCTCTGCAGAGCTGTGCTGTTTGCCCTCAGGGCTAGAGAACAAGACCGGCCCATTGTATTTATTAATACAGATGTCTCCCTGAGATCTTTAGGTACCTAATTTTCAATATCATTGACTTACACCAGCTGATCTGTTGACACTTTCAGTGTACAAAACAAGCAACACCAGCAAAGTATCTCTGGAGAAAACCCGTAGTGTCCATACCTTGGATATATGGCACATATGGATTTTCTATTTCAAAGCTGGGATCCAAAGCTTTTAAAACAACCTGCAAAACAAATTAATACAGTTCTGTAGATCACTGAAGCTATTCTTTTTGGATATAAAGACTGTCACCTGGGACCCGTTAGTAACTAATGCCACTTTACTGATCCCATAAAAGGAAAGAACAAGGCTGTGGCCCTGATTCAACAAGTGCTCTCACCCCTTCAACCTGGTCTTGGCTGAGCGAGGCAGAAAGACCTTTTGTTGGATTGATGTTTTGGGAGGAAGGAAAAGCAATGCCCTAGAGTGACGCATAGATGGGATGAGCATCCACCAAAGGGATCAAAGGACAGGCCCTTGACTTTAGCAGTAGAGGCTGAGGAGGTGTCAAGGTCTCTTATGAGGGAGACTTTCATGCAAATTTGGAAACCAGGAAAGAGCACTAGAAGGTTTCGTACAAGTTGTTTTATAAATTCATTTGGGTGTGAAACTGAGAGTGAAATACAGTGTTTGCCTTTCCCTCTTACTTCAGTAAAGGCAACAGCACTTCGTGTCTCAGAACCTGTATAAGTGGATCTGATTAATACAGACAAGAGACCTTCAGCTCCAGAAAAACAGCCATATACAATCTGAACTCATACAAACACGGACACTCGGCAATACCTCGCCTTCAGTGGAGGGCTCGATGTCCGAGTATCTTGAATCACAAATGACGTCTCCCACACTTTTTGCTGGACCAGAGGAGATGTTGGGAAAAGAAGCTGCACAGTCCTGTGCAAAATATCTAAATGCTTTCCAGGTCTGACCGAAGTCAGTGGAGCGCTCAACGAGCATTGCTGCAGGCCGAAATGTCTGCAAGAAACATTATTTCAAGAATTCCTTAACCAGGATACAACTCAGGGGTTGTTGTATTGACACTCCTGTTTGGGGGATGCCAACAGCTCTCAGTTAAAATTTTGTATTTGGGAGCTTGTAGGCTCGCTACAGGACTACTGTGCTGGTTACATGATTGTCTGAAAAAGCCAGATTCTTCATTCGAACCACTCTCTAGCAAAAGGGAAGGGTAACCTTCCACATAAATGCAAGATCACTTCTAAATAAGGAGGGCTACCATAACAATGGAGGAACTTTGCAGGAAAAAAATTTGTATATGCATGAGAAGGTTGAACTAGATTTGAAATAGCAAGTGAAGTTCAGAGATGTCCTAAATTTTTAGGGCTTAATTTTACAATTTAATATTTTTTCAGCTTTAATTCTCAGATTTATAGAAAACAGGACCAGAAGGCACATGAATAGGAAGCTATTCAGTCTATCCTCCTCCCCTAAGGCAGGATCAACTATAACTTAACCATACTTGACAGGTGTTTATCTAACCTGTTCTTACAAACCTCTAAAGATGGAGCTTTCACTGCCTCTCTAAGCAATTTATTCCTGTGGTTAAGTAATTAGTGTATAACATTACATAAAAGCTCTGGTAAAAGATGTACCTTAAAAGTCAGGATAAGATGGCTGAACTGGAATAAAGTTTCTAGGTCCAATCTAATGCTGACATGGTCAATGCCTGAAAAGAGAATGAAAATGAAGTGAAGAGCACAATGCACACATGGGAGGGGTTGCTGAGACAGCTTTCCTCTGGGGAATTGAAATGCCTTTTCCAGCACAGCAGCGAGGCTTTTTAGGCATCCCCTGTGCACAAGCCCAGCATGCGGCTGGAACTCTCGCTCAGGGGCAATGCAATATGCTGCCTTTCAGGCCCTGGCACCGGCAGTGCTGCATGTCACTGAGACTGCAGGAGATGGTTAAAGGTCCTGTTCAGATCATTCGGACTATAAGTGATGGTGATGGTCAGGTTCTGGGTTTACATCTTCCTGCATCCAGTCAGATTTTTTATTAAATCTGCCCAAATTCTTTGCTTATTTCTAAGAAAGAAAAAAGAAACGCAATAAAAATATGGGGGTTTCTTCTTGCTAAACAGATTTGTTAAACCCTTCTATACTGCCAGACCTGAAATCTGTTGTGAGCAGAGCTATCGTGCCAGGCATCTTCCAAAACTGCAACTAGTATGGAAAAAACCCCACAATCCACACACTCTCTGTAGAGAGTTTCAAGAATTCAGCTGATATCCCCGTTGTTCACATCTGCATGCAGCATCCCAGGCCTTCTGCTGACCAGGCTGTGCATGAGACCTCATCCCAGAAGAAAGACGGGGAGAGCAAGAAAAGATCTTCTCACAGCTGACCCACAGCTTAATTGGCGGTGGTGTCCAAAACTGCTGACAGTTCCTTTCTAAACTCCACGAAACAAACAAAGTTCATGACTTTTTAGTTGGATACTCCAAGTAGGGGAAACATATTATCTTAATTTTTCTATGCCTTAATTTCCAACCAGACAAACATCTTTTACATATGCATGCCTTCACAGAGAAGCTTCACATATAGCATGCCTTCACAGAGAAGCTGTAAGGATAATACCTTCATCAATGACATAGACAGTGGGGTCAAGTACACCCTCAGCAGGCTTGCAGATAACTCCAAGCTGAGTGGTGCAGTTGACATGCCTGAGGGATGTGATGCCATCCAGAGGGACCCAGACAAGCTTGAGAAGTGGGCATGTGTGAACCTCATGAGGTTCAACAAGGCCAAGTGCAAGGTCCTGTACCCGGGTCAGGGCAACCCTCGGTATCAATACAGGCTGGGGGATGAAGGGACTGAGAGCAGCCCTATGAAATAGGACTTGGGGATCCTGGTGCATGAAAAGCTGGACATGAGCCGGCAATGTGCGCTTGCAGATCAGAAAGCCAACTGTATCCTGGGCTGCATGA